ACTAACAATTAATACTATTATATAACAGATAACACTAACAAAATGAATCTTGAGCTATACTCAATACTTGCCGAGGTAGACGGAATGAGATTCCCATTGGCATATATGCTGCTAACCACAGCAACTGCAATTAACGATAGAACTCGCACAAACATGATTACACAGTTTTTTGATAAGCTGTGTAATATAGAAATCAATCCTGTCTTTATGATGACTGACAAAGACTCTGCACAGATTTCAGCAGCAAAAACAGTATGGCCAGACGTGCATATCCAGCTTTGCTTTTGGCACCTAAAACGAGCAATAAAAAGGCAACTTGGGTTAAAAAAAATGCCAAGAATAACACGATATTCTGCAAGCAGGGCAAATACAGAATTTTCATTTATTGATCTTGATTTTTGCCCTAAAATTATATCACAACAGCATAATATTAGCTCTAATAATAATAATGAGTTAATACAATTGCTAGTCGAAACATCAAATAGAAAAATACCATTCACCTTTTGTCTACTAGAGTATCATAACCATATCATCAATCTCATAACCAAGCATTTTAATCAACACCCTTATATTCCTGCAGCCGACATGCAGTACTATTTTCCTGATCAAATTCGTGAAGCCGCTGTTAAGGAGATATATATGTACTGCAAGAATAATGATCTCAAGTGGGCATGGTCATATCTGTGGGTAGAGTGGTATGATTCATCTAAATGGCCTAACTGGGCACGAAGTGCCAAAAATGAAATTTCAGTATTAAAAACAACAATGATCGTGAAATCGCACTGGAGACTTATTAAACATAATTACATTTATAAATTTAATAAACCACATGTCAATTTACTTGTATGGATTCTTATCGAACGTCTTCTTCTATAATATATGATTAAGATGCAACAACTAGAATCAGATTACAAAACAAGAGCTTTAGCATCATAGCGACCAGCCTTCAAACGTTCTTGGAAGACATGTTTGAAAAAAGAATTAGGTGGTGGTTCCTATATTACTAATCCAAACATGTGGACTTGCTCATGCCCGGCTTACCTTTGCAGTCGTTTTCTTCTCAGCAAACATCTGGTACAATCCGTGCGACTATTAAACCCAAACTTTTTTAATGAAGTTAAACATCATAGATCCCCACCTTTCTGGAGACATAATGATCTAATTCTATTAACACGAGGCTTAGAGCCAGTCGAGGATGATGAACTTGAGAAAGAAGATGAGGTGGTGGATGAGGATGAACTTAATGTACAAGAAATTGATAAAGAATTTGCAGAAGCATTACAAGAATATGAAGAAGGTGAAAATAATATGAATGATAATGTAATTGTTGAAGAATCTAATGAGACATGGGAAGAGGTTAATGGCCGTGTTAAAGAAAATCTTCAAAAATGGATTGATCTATTAAAAAGTCAAGAGCTATACAAAGATACCCAATTTTTGTTAGCGGCGGAAGATGCAATGTCTGGAATAGAAAAGATGTTAAAAAAGTGTGAAACATTAAGAAATAGAAGAACATTGCCAAAGACATGGAAAGACTGTGATAAATACACAATGTTTTATAAAATTGCATAATTTCCATTATTATATTAAGAAGAGCGTGTCGTCGCTAATGGGTTATAAATGTAGACCAAATACAATAATTGAACACTTAAATATCATATTATTATTCCAAAGGATTTGTGACCATTATAATTGTATCGATATTATTGTGCCTATTTATGTGATAATAAATTATGAGCTTGTAATTAATATAAAATTAAATAATTAAATAATCAAATTAAATTACGTTGTAAAATAAATGAAAATATTTAGATCATATGATTTTGTCCAATCCTTGACTCAAGTTCGTTGATCTTTTAATATTCACGATTTACTTGAATGCCCGTTGTATAGAAAATATAAAATGAAAATTAGCTTAAGTATTCGTTCCAAAATTATACTTCACTCTTTGCGCTCAGATATTGAAAACTACTTAAATAATCACTTAACTTTTACAATCGTTCAAGACAGCCGAGTACGATTTTCTCTTGTGGTTAGATGGTAAAAATAGTTCGTCCTTACATAATTTCTTATATTAGAATTATAGTTGTAAATTATTGTCGATTTTATTCTTATATATTCTCACCTTTAAGTTGAAAAAAATCTGAAAAGAAATTTCAAATTATAGTCTGCAAGAATGTTACATGAATACGGAAAAATTTCGGATGATCGTCACGTGACAGGGAAATTTTTTGGTGTGAGCTGTGTAACTTGTTAAAGACACAAACATAAGGATCTACAAATTGGTAGTTATACAAAGTATTATAAACTATAATACTTTGTGTAACCACCAATTTGCAAATCCTTATATTCGCATCTTTAACTCCAAATATTTTGGGATCTACAAGGCCAATTTTGATGATCTAACTACTATTAGAACCAGAAAAATCTCTTCTACAACTTTATTTAGAAGTCCAAAAGAGATTTATTTATTAAATTTTAAAAAATTAATTTTTATTATATTACTGTATATAGTATAATATATTCTATTGGGGTTCGGGTCCTATAGCTTAATGGATAAGCTCCCGTCCCCCACAGACAAGGTCGACGGTTTGAGTTTGGCTAGAGGTAAAATATTCTGTAATCTAAAAAAGAGCCTATTATCGCATACAAAATCCTGTGGAAGTCCAAGTGAAGATACATCTTTGGTTTAAGGAATTCCCGGAAGGAAACCGGTATGGCAGAGCATAGGCACTACTATAGTGAGAAATGTAGAGAATGTCGTCAACGTTTGTAGAAAAGATTGGCCTTATCTAATATGGAATCACCTCTGGGCAAAAAATCCAGATAAGATGTGGCTGTGGGAAACCACCTCCTTCGGTAGAATCTACCTCACGGGTAAAATAGCCCGAAAGTCAGATTAAAACCTTAATTGAAAGTTCATGTGATCAGAATAATATTGAAAATCAGAGAGT